AGGCCGAGGGGGTCGCTGTCACGCATCCGGAACACCACTGTTGGGGCTGCATGCAGCCGCACTGCTCCTTAAACCCAAACACTACCCAGCCGGCCCTTTGTCACATTTGATGGCACGAGAATCAAGTGCAACCAATACTAAACAGGTCAATGGGTCAACCCACATTTTTGCACCCTCAACCATCAGAATAGAAGATGCCAGCTTTTGCTAGACTGTTCGACCGACATAAATGACCGTGGCAGATCAATTTGAGGGTCACTATGCGTTCCCCGCTTGCACCTTGTGTGCTTCGTGCTACGCTTTGAGCTCCAAGGCTTCAATGGTGCTGCAGGCGGTGTGGAATTTGCATTCGGGTACTGCCTCGGGCTGCTTGGCAAAGAGATGAATGAGGCCTTTGTCCAGATCCGCTGCCTTCTACAGTTGCCATGATATACCATCATTATCACGAAAGCCAGCCGTAGGCTGGGCTGAGTTTTGTGATGCGAAGGAAGTGAGATAAGGGGTTGTAGGAGGCCTACGTAACATTTGCAGATGTACTCAAGTCTCACATTCGACTTGCCGCAGGCTGTAGTAGGTTCGAGAAAAGGACCGCTTTCGCATGGTAGCGGAGCCAAGGATCCCGGAAGGGTGAGGCTCATTGTGACGCCATGGCTGGTCTGGAGGGTTCTCCGGTGATGAGCCCAGCTGGAAGCCCTAGTGGAGCCGCGGGCCAGCAGATAGATGGTGCAGAACTGGCGAGGAGAGTGATGTTGGCAACAGAGGCTGCATCCACAGCGGCTACAGTAGCAGCTCAAGCTTTGGCAGGGCCAAAGACATGAGGAAAAGAGCTGGTACAAAACATTGCCCAAGCCTGGAGTCTTTGATCCTAGACAGCCGGGAAATGTTCCTATGTCGACCGTTGAGAACCGCATAAACAGCTGCTACCGCGCAGGACTCTTTGCACTGTGTGGAACAAAAGGATGTGGTGAGTCGGTGACGCATCGGCTGTGCTCTTGGACTTCGGTGCGTTGCTGTGAGCCACCGATGAAAAGCAAAAGAAGAAACCACTGCATGCACACTGGCAGAGTGAGTACGCCGTTGTGGGCTGCTTGCGTGACGCCATCTTTGCGGGCCGGAAAAAAACGGGGTCCGCAGGGCCGCAGGGCATGTGCGAAGGGACACTCCTATAGGTCAAATTGTTCTTATCGGGAACTGCTTGTAGCCTCTACAATCTCCCACCACTCTTCACAATTATGAAATTACGACCCTGAGCAGAAAGCACGCAACTTCCTCAATAATAACAACAAACTCTTTCATTTTGTCACTGGCCAACAGCCCTGACACATTGGAGGTCCCCAAACAAAATCCTGCGACGCCAAAGTTCGCCCTATAGAGTTGACTTTTGCCAGCACCACAAGTTCACCGAAGCTCACCCCCATGACTCAAACAAATTATGGAAACAATCTTTGGATCTGACAGGCCGTGCTGATCCGCATTGAACCTTGTTCATCGCAATAGTTTTGACGGAAAGTCATCGGAACGTTTACAGTGCGGAAAGTCTAGTAATCAGGTATTTTTGTTAGTTTAATGGGTTTTGTTTCCCGACAAATGTGCTGTGATTGTATACCGTGCAAAGAGGTAGCTTATGTCTCCTGATCAGCTTCACTTCCCGATCAATGTTGTTTGTTAAGTGTTCTGAATCCTATAGTGCCAAATCACAGGGGTCCACGTTGTATAGTATGGTTGTGCCCGGGAGGCCCGCTGAATTTCAAAGGGCATACTTTCGACCACTAAAGCACGAGGTTTCCCTTGCGCCTGCCACGAAAAGTGATCACCAAACCGAAAAATGCACAGGGCAGCCTGCGCAGTCGAAATGCACTTCGAAGATCTCGAGGTGAATGACAATGAATGCACCGCAAATAACAACGAATTAGCCGCAAACGGATGCGAGCACCTCGATCAGACACCCGTCCTTAACCAGTTACCGCTAGTGTGGACACACTGCTTGGGGAACAAAGAACAGAATGAAACAAAAACCGTCACTGAGGCTTTCCATCGCTGCGTTGCATGTGTCCTTGCAGCCACGAATGGCACCACGCGAAACCGACCATGCTGGGGACCTGGAGGTGTTCGGCTGTTTTGAGGGACCTTTTAACAAATCGGATACCCGGCATTGGCCGTGAGGCTTTTCCTCAAGCCAGTGCATGAAGCACAGAAACAAGCAATGTACAACACATTGTGTTTTTAGTGAACGTTTTGCCAATTTTTTTCACCAACGTTTGGGTCACATCATTACCTCCATGATGTCTTGATAGATGTGGCATTCAGAGATATTGTTTGGCCAACAGTTGCTCGCCTGGAAAGGTGTGTCACAGCTAATAAGGCTGCTGTCATTGTTATTTTCAACCTGCAAGGAGGCCTGTCAAGCCCTCTTACAATTTATAGTATACAATTCAATTTTTGAACAATGGGCATATTTTGCAACGATGTGCGCACCTGTTTCATACATTTTTCGTTTGCTGAGATGTTCTTTTCGCCTCCAATTTCCTATACCAGTCCCTGCCAAGTCTGAGGCAGTCCTTGGATGCAAGGCAGGGGAAGCCCCCAGCATGCCACTGGGGGCCACAATGTATCCTCCGTTCTCAGTGCAGCACCATGGCAACATTTGGAAGGGGCTGTGACATAGAGACAGGGAATAAACGGCTGAGGAACCCTCACGCACTGGCCCGTTTTGGCAGAACTTTAAGGCTGCTTTGAAGATTTATAGGCACAACATGATACAACTTGTATCAACATGTATCAATTTGTGTGGGTTTGTGTATTTATGGCTGTGCATAGATCCGTTCAAACATGTTTGCTTTCGCATTGACATTCCTTTGTTGCTGCATCGTGAAGAATGCTCCATGCAGTCATGCATCCTTTGTAAGGCTTTGTGAATCGTGTGTGCACCACACGGTCTCTACTTTTTTGGTGGGTGTATTTACGCTGCAGTAGTGTTGCACTATTTTACCCCTGCAAGATGCAGCACCCTTTGAGAAGCATGTTTTGTGATTTTTGTTGATATGTTTTGAACTGATTTCTTTTGCATGTACACTTCACTTTTTGCGACACCTCAATGTAATATATAACAATGTACAATGACATGTGTACATATGCGCACAGTGCAACATGGTGCAACACAGTGCTTTTGCTGGCTATTTCGAGCTGCTGCACTTGCCCATTCAACCCGTGTTGCTGACAGACCTCAACGATGGCAAAGGATCCATCCAAACCCATTCATTACAAAAGCCAGCTGATAGGCTAGGCTGAAGCTAGTTTTAGTGAACACGGTGAGTTCTAGGTGTAGGGAAAGTGGGGGGAGGCGGGTCCAAAGAGGCCCGCTGGAAGCACATGAGTGCCATATGCACGATAATGTGCTGTAATGTGCTGTACTCAGATGATGTTGATAAGAGGTGCATATGAGGCTTGCGCGCTAGGAAAACCTAAGGTTTGAGAGTTCCAAAAGGGCCACGAAAGGCCGGTTTTGGGAGACTTACAGAAAAAGACTTGGCTGGACAACCGCAGATATTCTGCTCCCCGATTGTTCCTTGCTGCACTTGTGTGTGATCCAAGGCAAAAAGAATTCAAGCTACTGACTGCCGCTGGAGGAGTGAGCAATCGATAGCCAGTGAATGATTTCTTCAGTTCCAAGTCATTGGTCGGTGGACATCCTCAAGCATACTGCACATCCGTAATCAGCCACGAAAACCGTCAGTCACAAGGGGGATAAAGCTTGCAACGGGTGTAGCTTCGGGTTCCATCTCATGCCAAGCGCAGGAGAGGTGGCGGCTGATGATGTTGTGGTTGGTATTCCAGTGAGAGATGTCGAGGACGGATGGTTCAATTTTCATGATTGCTTTGATTTACTTTTGCTATGGCTGTCTAAGCCGCAAGCTTTGCGCTACAGCTGCCATGCAGCAATCAACCAGATCTAAGATTCTTTATTTGTTCCCTTTAATTTCTCATTGCCAGCTTGCTGCGAAAGTTCAGGAGGATCAAAGGAGGGATACCGCGGCTGGTGACATGGACGATATGTTCCTATGGTATGGTGCAGGCTATATCCATTTTGGGGACATCGGCTGCTTGATTGACATCGTTCAGGTGCAAGGACAGCTTTTGCATTGGTCATAGGGAGGATTTGATACGGTACATGCATGAAAATACCGGCGTGTGTCAACTGCTAAGGGTGTGCACCCTGCCGGAGTGGTGGCTCCAAGAAGTTGGTAAAGTTTGGTTGGCTCTTCTGTCCTTGCGAGTCCCTGCACGGACATCACATCACTGCAAACGTATTGGAGTGCTGTAAACGGTATATAATTCATTGCATTTGTGAGGCTATGGGGGCTTCCATGGTCATCAATCTGACTACCGGGCTGTGGCAAGTGGCTGCGGCGGTTGTGGTGGTTGTGGCGGCTGTGGAGGTTGTGGTGGTTGTGGAGGATAGCCACAAGCGCTTCAGTCCTCCAACCAAAGCACAGACATCTTTGGGAACGGAAGGCACCGGTGCCACATGTGCGTCCAAATGCACTCCGGCCGCGTCATGCTGTTGCTGTTTCATTCTGATGGCATGCACCACCTTTGCAAAAGAAATACTTTGCATATGGCAGACTGATGAAGGTGATTTGATATGAACAAAGCACTGGTAGCTATGAAACAGCTACATGCTGTGCTTGAGCAGGCCAAGCACTGAACCAATGAGTTCTGTAGAAAGCAGTTTCGTTTGAAAACCCGCACTCCTTGGTTCAAGATCCTGTAGAATGCTGCGGAATATGGCTTTTGGCGCATGCGCATCATGTGACGTAGCGTTTGAGTTGTGTGGAATCGGAATTGTCAGCACAAGTGGGTGATTGAGTTGTGTCTTCCAGATTGAGAACTTGAGTATATAGATAATTTGCAGATTGTGTTGAGCAGAGTTTTCCTTGTGGTGACGATTCAAGAGGACACATGCAACTGACGAACAACCCTCACAAGGCTGACATTCTAAGGCTCAATGTGGCTTGAGCCCTGCTCAGCGCTTCACATTCTATGACCATGTGCATACCACAGGCATGGACAGACAGGGGGCGGATATTCATGGCGGCGGCCATCGCTCTTGCTCTTTTGTTGTTTTTTGTTTTTTTGCGACCTTGCCGATCAAAACCTCGTGAATAGAGGTTGCGCAATGTCAGTCACAGGGTTCACGTGGGCTCACTTTGAATTTCCTGCAGATTGCTCAGCTTTCTTTGCGGCGCAGGCATGGATGTCAAACAACCTTTGCTTTGCACTGCTGCGCTTACATTGAGCAAGGCCCACCAGCTTCTGTCAACCGCAGGGTGAAAACTTTAAACTAAACTAAATAATATACAATTTGGATTCTCACCGTTTACGAACATTGGCCACCCACGCACCCAAGCTGCTCTCATTGGCAGAATGAACGAGATACAGAATTAGAAGGTTGTATAGTTGTATGTAAAGATTGCAGTCTTTAAAATCAGCGCTGAACTTAGGACATGTTACTGGAACTTCTCCAGGCACATCCAGGTCAGGTAGCCCTCAACCGCTGCGATTAGTTGACATTAAGTCTTCTCAATTCCAACGGGAATGCAATTTAATCATGTTTTATTTGTTGATTAGATTAGAACTAACTTGAACGAATTTGCTAAGACAACTCTAGGACATGGACATCCTGCAGGTAGATGATTGATGTGGGCGGTCTCGGGGGGTCCCTGAGGCTGACATTCAAATATGAGTATTATGAGTGTTCTTACTGTATTCATGCAATAAGGCTGCCTTTGACGCTAGTCACTTGAGACCGAGCTTGGGGCAAATGCTGCGAAACTTGTTACATAAAGGGTTGGGTTCTTAAGAGAAGTGCACAAGAACCGCGTTTTGTTCGAACAAAGGGTATGCGAAAGCAGAACTTGAGAAGAAACAACGACGCCAAAATCTACCCATATCCACTTCTGAAGCTCTCAGGGAACCTGTTAGTCAAAGTAATGATGGTATGATGGTATTTTTTAAAAAATAGTAATATTTATATATATACATACTTTTTGTGTGTTTTTCTTGCATGTCCAGTTTGTGTGGCACAGCATACCCCGAAGCATACCCCATAGTCAAACATCCCAGCCCGGGAACGGCTACACATACAATTCTTGGCTCGCAAGAAGTCTTGCTGGCTTCAGCGACGCCTGATTGCCAATGCTGCACGACCAGGACATGACATTGCGGGATTATGCGCAGGGTGCCTACCGCATGCGGGCAATAGGCTTGGGCCCAGGGATGGGGTGCCATCAGTTCACAATTTGGGTCATTTTGAAAGCAGAGCCTCATGGACCGGATAGACATGACAGCCCTTCAAAAAGACCTTATAGCATTAGTTGCAGCGAATCTTTTGGCATAGACCTGACAGTTCAGCTGTCTCATGCCGTCATGGCTTGTACCTCTTTTTATGAACATTCTAGAACAATCATGTCAACTGTGTCAACGAGAGCACCCTGCAGGACACGGACAGCGCGTCGAAGTTCTCATGACGCCTGAGGTTAGGTCGTTGATGAACAAGCTGCCTGCTTATCCAAACGTTGGTGATGTGGCATTTGTTGAACTCACGAGAATTAATCTAAAGGTCTAAAGGAACAGCTGCCGTGTTCAATCAGCCGATTGAATTGAGGAGCGCTAGTGTGACAGATGCCTGGTGTTGTGTGCATTTGCCGGCCCTACTCATGGAAATCAATTCATTCGATCATACGATGATGTAGCTCGCTAGGTTGTGTCCCTTTCTGGTTGGCAGTTGAGGTCATTGAGCACAGTGGAGAAGTTGCAAGAAGAGGTGGGCGAGACGTGAGAGGTCATTGGCAAGGTTCCCCAAGTCGACTGATTGCTTGCATGATCATGCAACTTGAGAGGTAGAATGTTCAAACGAAGAATGCCTTCGCTCACATCGCACGTCAACTATCTATGCTGAGGTTCCAAAAATTGTATATACTCGTTTTGGCTTTGGGCATAAGAAACTGCAGCGGAAGGTGCTGACTGCAAATGCTAAGTGCTTGCAAACTTGCAATCAGCACTAGTATGACGACTCTTTGGCACAGTGCTCAAGTTTTGTTGTATTTATGCCTGGCTTTGGAAGACGAGAAGGCTGCGATGGTTTAAGAACCGGGTGCAGTTGCGCCACAGTTAAGGCATGCCCAGAATATTTTCAGGTCCTTTGAAGCCTTTGTCCTCACAAGAGAGACATAGACTGGTCTCTTGGAAACGTGCGCTGCACCCAAGCAGGCTATTCACCTACTTTAACTTGTTACATTATACTGGTTGTTTCATGTTCATTCTTGGCGCAAGTGACCTGTTTAGTCACACATGCAAAATGACATTTAGCCCGCACAGCCAAAGCTTTGGATAAGTTGTCTCGCATGCGTTGAGTTTTGAGCTTGCCGAGTTTCCGTGGTTTCGGCTGAAATCGGACTTTTTTGGAGATGCCAACGGCGGGCCCTGATGTTTTGAAGCTATGGTGGCCTTGGAAGCTGGAAGCGCGTTGGAGTCTGGAGCAGGATTCTTGCATTCTCAGCCCGCACGCCAAGCAAAAGGTGCCTTTGATGCGGAGACTGAGGAGAGGCCAAGAAATGTGGCACAGCACTGGCTGACTGGGTGGTTGTGTTACATTGGCCTATTTAACGCTGTTCTCTCTGCAACTTGGCAAGCACCAATCGCGCTACACCGTTCGTGGACGGTTTTGAGTGAAAGCCATTAGTGATCATAAGCTTTTGTCAAGTACATCAGTATCCAGTCAGATCCGAGCTTGAATGGCAGTTGAAGATGCAGAACAATGGTTGAAAGAGCACCCGAAAAGACTGCCAGAATGACCTATCAGCAGAACCAAGCAGAACTAGCTTTCGAAGAGAGGCTTCAAACAGGGTATGTGTATGCTTGGACACTTGTGATGGACTTCAAGGTGGGTATTTGGGTAATTGGTGTCCCCCATTTTTTGCACGCTACTTCACAAACCTCAGAATGATTTAAGAAGCCAGCTTCGAGAAGGCGAGGGGCTGCTAATGGTCACCTGGTTGGAATGGAGTGTATAATGTACGATGCAACTACTAGATATATAGGTCAGGCACGTTTCATCCCGGACATGCCCCTTGGTGTGTTTAGCTTTGTGTGATGAGGGAACTTTGCCCTTTATGCTAGTGTTTTTCAATATTATTTCCGGTACCATCTATTCGATATCCTATGCCTGTACTACAGAGTTGAATACAGTTTCTTTTGCCGCTCTGCCTGAGGTAGCGATGTACTTGTCAACATTGCCTCAGTGCCTGAGCTATGAGAAGGATACATATAAACTTTCCACAGACATGGAGAGCTTTGATATGATTTAGAATGTAGATGCCTATCATGAGGGCGCTAGTTGCTAACAAATCGCTATGATGTTTTTGCTCACATCTCCAACTCATGCCAGCCATGAGAGAGAGAACGCATTGAGAAAGCACGTGTAGCCATGGTGTCCTGGGCCTCCTGCCAACAAAAGTCGAGAATGTGCTGTGGGCAGTCGTAACAATTGGCGAGGTATGTCACTTTGCAATCCTTGGCAGCGGGGGAGGCAACTTTCTTAGCGGTGTTAGCGCAGCTCATCGGGTATCCCTTCGTTGTTGCGTTGGTGGCTGCTGCTTGGCTGGATGGGGATGCGTCAGCTACAGTCATGCGGACAAAGTTTGTAGCCTTTAAGATCCTTTAAGATTCTCTTCAGCTCTAAAATCACGTGCTTTATAAGCCACGTTTTATCAGGGTGCTTGCTGGTAACCTTCGTGTGAACGAAGCCGGCCAGGTGAAAGCACAGCTTTTGATGAATATAATGTTGGAGGCACTGACAAATCCGGGCGATCGGTGCCCCAGCTTGTAAGGGCTTTTAAACGCAGATGTTGATGTCACTGATCATGTTTGATGTTAGTTTTTGGTTTCGTTCACCACACGAGGAGAACCATCCTCGAAGGAACTGCGGAGATACTCCAATCAGCCTTCAAACTGGAGGACACAGACAAGGTAGGGAAAGCGGTCGAAGCGAATGAAAGGTCATGCCATCTTCCATTGTTTGAACATATTTTATAGTATGTTACATGGATTTACATTGTGCTGTGTACGTATTGAGTTTAAATATGTATATGCACAGGTATTGTGTTTTTTGAGACTTCTTCTGAGTCGAGTAGAGCAAGTTCGGCACAGGAGTGTGGGCGTTTGCGCATGCAGGCGCATATAAATATATGTTGATTTCGGCGTAATAGCGTTAACACTAGATTTTCAAAGACCTATGAATTCTATGTCGCGGGGTGTGGCCCGCGTGGGTGGCACGGCCTGTGGCGAGATTTAGCGTGCTTTGGGTGCGGCCCGCGTGGGTGGCACGGCCCGTGGCGTGATTTGGTCGCGCCAGTCTCTGGCGGGGTTGGGCGTGCTTTGGGTGTGGCGTGATTGGGTCTAGGGGTGCACAGTGGGGTGTTTGGATGTGGCTGTTGGAAAAGGCTCAGCGTCCAATTTTTGCAGAGAATGATAGAGAATGTGATTCACTGTTTGGCCTGGAACCGTATGTTTGCATGCTGCAATTTGTGCAATAGAACTGTAGAGCTACTAAGCTCTTTGTGGTACTCAATGTTCCTTTCTAGGGTACTGCTAGGAGCAAGGATGCTACTAGGGGTCCTGGCCATGCTACTAGGAGCAATATCGCTACTAAGGATGCTACTAGGGGCTCCAGGCCATACTACTAGGAGCAAGGACGCTACTACTAAGGTCCCGCCCCAGCCCCACCCCAGTCCGCAATCACACCGCCGCCCACACGTCAAGAGCATCACAGCATCACTACCAAAGTACGCCACGCCCCGTGACACCCCTAGACGCCACCCCGAGAGTACCCTACAACAACGTCAAATCACGCCACAGGCCGTGCCACCCACGTTTAGCCGGGCTAATGCTATTACGCCTAAGTCAAAATATTTGGGGCACAATAAAACGTTGCATGTCCTCAGATATTTTTTTTTGAACACAAGGTCGTTAGTTAGTCAGGGTTGACAAGCAAATGGTTGGAATGTGACATTTCGGCCCTGATGGCCCGTGCTTTTTCTAGCACGTTCGTTGCTTTGGAACTTGTCGACGGGTTCGTTTTGCCCAAGACTCAAGACCTCCTTAATAGGCCGCCGGATGAGTAGGTTGGCCCTTCCTTTTGGCAATTGGGGATGGGACCAGAGGCTTGGTGTGGCGACAGTTGGCAGATTGGGTGGCCTCGGAATTTTTGCAGAAGCTAGCACTTGACCTTGTCCCCTTTGTTTTTCAATACCGGATCGAGGGACCTTGGGAGCTGAGTGGCTTCTGGACAAGTTTTATTTGGATCTATTTGGTGATTTTTTGCATTTTGTGGGAACTTTGGTTTCAGTTGTTGACATTGGGGCACTTGGCGTTGCAGCTTTTGCAATACATTCCATGGTGTTTGGAGTGTTCCTTGCGCCTCAGCTTCGGGCCAGCTTAATTTGAGAAGGCCGATTAATTTCCAAGGCCTCCAGGCTGGTGCATCAGAGCGGGATACAAACGTAGCCTGTATGGCACTAGTGCTTGGTGGATCTGCAGGACGATCACCCTGGGATGAGGTATGGATGGCTGGGTGCATGCGTGGTGGTTCAGATATGTTCAGATGTCCTGGTCAGCACGACCAATCCCGCCGGAGCGATTGGACTTGGGCAGCAGTTCGATTGGTGTGAAACCTTCGTCTATCCGACCAGACGGAGTCGCACGCCCCTCGCGGTTTACAAGCTTTGGGATCCGGTTCCGGGCGAGGTAAGCCAACTGAGTCAGGAAGCCAATCTTATCCTAGGATGGCGGATGTGACCATGAACGTGGCACGTGGCGAGAGTCGCGATTTGGTGCCAGTGACCATGGAGCCCATAGGAGATCCAGCCGGAGGTGGCCGCAGGCAAGCCGTTGGGCGCAAACCCAAACCCATCCCCTTTAGCTTCCAGGCCTTTCAGGCCTTGGCGAAAGCCGTTCAACTACAAGCCCCCCGCCCTAATGTCGGACTCGGATCGCCAGGACAACCAGTGCCTTGACAGCCCACTTCTTGGCGGGAGTGCGTGCCCGTTTGTCCAAGGGCGCGACCGATCAGTGCAGCTTCGCGGGGCTTGGCCTCAGCAGCCTGACGGAGCCAAGTTTCTCAAGGAAGTTCTGTTGCCGGAAGAATCGTAGACCACGTGAATCGTCGAGAGGCTGCAAGATGTTAAGGATCGTGGCCCGGTTCAGGCGACAAAGGGAAAGGGGTGCACTTATGTGCACTTGGGAGCGATCAGAAGCCTTTTCCATCCTTGGACTGCGTTGGTGCCCATATCATCAAGTCAGAACTTCTTCAAGGAATGATCGTGAATACTAAGGTTTGTTGAGGATTCGAGAGGTGCTCAACTTGACAGCGGCTGATGTCATCCTGCAACCCAAACCTGTGATTGATTCTTTGGCGCTACCAAAACATGGTTGAAACCGAAGGTTCTCCTGAGCAATTCCACAGTTATGTTGGGTGGCGTGTTTTTTTTGAGCGCGTTCCACCAAAGTGCACACGTCAGCTGTTTCCTATGGGTCAGTTTTGCGCGAGGCCAAGAAACAGCTGGCCACTTGCTGAATGTTCTTTGGTCCCAGCGGTGTGTTGTGCCCCTTTTCTCCTCCTTGTGCGCTTTACACTTGCTTCCCCCTACGCCAGTTCACGGCAGGCTGTATATAATTTTGTTTGTTTCATTTCTAGTGCGCTTGGTCGTTTGAACTGTGGTCAGAAGTAGTATCAATTATACTTGTACTGGGGAGGCTCCATTGACA